AAAACAGTAGGTTGAATGAAAGTATCTTGCAGGCCAACTCTGCTATACGTGTTTCTATTTGATGTTCAGCTTCCTTGCAGTGGTTGTTAAAATGTTACTTCCTTTACAGATTAATCTGTGATGAGAGCAGACATCTTTTAAGAATATTATTCTTGTTCACTTTATTCTGTCACTTAACAAATTTCTTCTATGGCTGGTGATTGAACATAACTATGCAGCACTTTTCTACTATCAGGTGCCTCAGAGGGAAGCCATTATTCTAGAGCGTACAGACATGCACAGCCAAAATGATACAGTAGCTGCTGCCCTAGTAGACGTGGTATGTAGTGCTGTCATCAGAATTGATTCAGCTGAGTATTTTTGCTATGTTCCTTTGATTTACCTTTTATTAGTGGTTTATGTATCTTCAGTGATTTGGGACTACATTCCCATTTCCCATTAAAATTCCATGCTTGCTCTGGCTGTTTGCTTATAGCTGATACTCTCAGATTTCCAAGGTGCTATGTATCCTTGTACAAGTATTTTCTAACAACATGTGCATTAGACAGAGGGCCACAATTTCACAGCTCACAGGCATACACGGCCAAAATAATATAGTAGGTGCTGAACTGCAAAAAGGTATGTAATGGTGTCAGCATATGGTCATGATTCAGTCATCTGAGGATTTTCTTAGTAGTCTCCTTTAATTAATTAATTTGTTAGTATTTCTTGCACCTGGATGCCTGCTTTCTCTTGCACATGGATAAGGGTCAGTCATAGTGCCATAATGACCATGCCGCCCATGGTGTATGGGTGGGTTTTCTCAAAACTGAGAGCTGACCATGTCAGCTGATGAAATTGGATACTTTCCTAGTGCAGACGTATCTCTTGACATGGGTACTTGTCATTATGGTGTCAATTTTGTAATGGACATTTATTTCATTCATCAATAATAAAGTAATTATTTGAGCAGAGAGAGAGTGTGTGTTTGACTAGACCCAGCCCATTTCCTCAGCCCAAATAGTAGAAATTGCTATTTCTACTGTAGTAGCACAATAGTAGAAATTGAGAGAAAACACCTGGTAGTTGAGGCACTGATTTGGCACAGAAGAACATGGCAAAGCAGTGTTTAAAATCTTAGTCTCTCACAGCCTCAGTGAGCCCTCTAACCAATCAGCTATCCACTCTTCTGAGGTAGGAATCTGCCCTTTCGTCAGAAAAGGAGGTCTTGATTTTGGTTTAGTTCAGAACAAAAAAATATTGCAGAATCAGAAACTTTCTTAGCAGTCTTAGCATTATTCTGTCAGATTAGAATCATAGAATCATTATGGTTGGAAAAGACCTCTAAGATCATCGAGTCCAACTGTCAGCCCAACACCACCATGCCCACTAAACCATATCCCTAAGCGCCTCGTCTACTCGTCTTTTAAATACCTCCAGGGATGGGGACTCAACCACTTCCCTGGGCAGCCTGTTCCAGTGTTTAACCACT